TGAATTCTTGTCATTCTCTTCTAAACGAGAGAAAAAATTCAGTGCGTACGTTATTAAAATGCTACAGGATCCCAAAAATACTGCAATTCCTTTCTGATGAAACGTGACAAGAAATTCACATGGTAACAGCCGTTCTGCTTCTATTTCATCAGAAATCGAAAAGAATATTTCACATTAGCCGAGTTTGATATTCGTGTTACTCTCCAAATGTGCACTAATTTTAGATTTTAATTAGAATTTATAATTAATATTTTGTTTAAAAACAGATAATTTTTATTTTTATCCTATTTCAAATACGTTACAAAATGAATTATTAAATGATGTAACCAAGACGTACATATCTACCCTTCTAAATTAAAAAAAGAGACTTTTCAAAACTTAATTACCTTCTAAAATTAAGCTTAGTTTCTACCCACCATACTTGCTTTTTGCCTGTTTTTTTCAAGGCTTTTGTAATTAATTTAATAAAAGCAAGCTAAATTTTAATTCATTACATAACTTTCACAAAATATTTTTGGGATGTTTTGTAATCACTAAAACGAAACATTAAAACAACCCTAATTTGAACAAACTTATGTTGTGTATATTACGTTTGGTATTTTCGGATAGAAAGCCAGAAGAAAGATGTTAAATTTCAAGATGACCTCTGATCGTTCGTTTTGTAAAACAATAACTTGCTAAACAAAAGAATTAATATTTGAATGCCTGCTCGCTGCAAATGTTAAAGCTACGTTAAGGCTCTGCGTAATCTGAATCCAGCGACTCATTCTCAATTTTTCTGGGTCTTCTCAAGCGACCAAAAAAGAAGCTTTATATCGACACCTTCTTTTCTCCATGTACACACAAATACCCACAGACTATATTTTATTAATTAGACGTACTGTATGTAATTTGTCACATCTTTCGCAAATTGTAATTACTATTAAATATGTTGCAGTAGATGAGCTAGAACACCTGGCCTTAAACCTTTATGAATAATATGTACAACCTGTGAAGTTGACAATAGAGTTTTAATATCTTATTTAACTACCACATAAACCGGTAACGGTAATTTTAACAAACATAATCGTAAAACCAAGATATTTAACATAACAGTTTACAAGGAAATGGCAAATAAACGAGACCGCACTGTTAACTACGGGTGAATGCAGACAAAGGATAATAGAAAATTGAGAACAGGGAAAAATAAATACGTACACCTAATAGTAGTAAAATTAACGAAGTGGAAAAACTATTCAGTATACAGTAAAATACAATAGACTTTATATTGTATTTGCAGTAATATCAACTGTAAATACAAATATACAAAGTGGAAAAACTATTCAGTATACAGTAAAATACAATAGACTTTATATTGTATTTGCAGTAATACCAACTGTAAATACAAATATACAAAATATAAGTGAGTGATGTGAAACAGTAACTAATTTAACACTTAAAATCCAAAATTCCACAAAACGTTAAATGAAGATGAAGATGAATTTTGGGTTTTAAGTGTTTATTTTGTAATTACAACAGAATTTAGAACTGATTATGTGCGACAAGAAATGAAGTTTGACTCACGCGCCAAGAGTCATTACTTTTTTAAAAATAGTGAACTGCAATTATTTGAAAAGTCAAATTCCCTTAATCCACTGCATTAATATAAATAGTACAATTTTTTATTCATACAAAATATTGAAGCCAAAAGAACTTTTGTTTCGTTTGGGACTATACGGAATTTTTCTTTTTTTTTTTTTAGATGAAGCCAAAAGCTTATTTTGAGGATAATCATGTAGGATTTATTTCATGTCAATATTTCGAAAAGATCCGAAGAAATTGGATAAAAACTGTCATAAATATGTAACATTCTTATTGTGTTGGTGGCTTTTCTTGTACAACGGAGAACGAAAATAAGGCGCGACAAGTAGGTACTAATCATGTTTCAACCATTACAGTAGAACAAAACTTCATAACAGCAGTTGTTTCCGTTTCCTGCAGTCTTGACATTTTTCATTTTCGCAATAGACCATTATCGAAAATTAGTTTTGATATACACTAAAAGGCTCATACCTTTATTAAAAATAATGTAAATGCTTGACCTACATGGATTAAGCCCAGATACGATCCACTAATCCCTGAAGTCTATCTTTGTACTTCGGAAACGAAGATAATTAATTGCTCCTGTTTTAATACCACAAGACTTCGACGAATTCGTGACGTAACTAAATCATCATTCTTTCTTTCTGCCATCCGGTTTATTCCGTTGGCTTCGTGATATTCCCGAATGATCGTTCATTTTTTTTTTTTTCGTGGCAGTTTTGTTCTTCATTAATCTTAGTCAAGGATTTTTTTTATCAAAATTTATTTATCAAAAGTAAATCCGAATTTATGATTTCTCAATTTTTTTTCTTTAGTTTTATTTGAACTATTTTCCTCGAAAATTACAAAACTATAAACTATAACGTACAAATTAGATGTCAGTCAGACCGGTTGGAAACACACCTCCACCCTTTTTTATCCTGAGCTCATTTTCGCATTTCTCTAAAACCAGAAAAAAAAAAACTTTTGGGTGTTTCATTCCCACCAGCCAGTAATGCTGGTGGGCGGGCAGTCCCTCCGGACTATGCCGGAAGGTAGGACGGAAGGCCCTCTTAAGCCTGCTTTCAGGAATCGTGGGAATGGGTGGGTGGTGTTTCGGGTGAGAAAGATGAGACGGACGAAATGAAGACAGAAGAGAATGAANATTTTCCTTAATCGCACTTCAAACAATGATTTTAAAAACAGTTCTTTATGGATAAGAATCAAAAACACGCCAGTAGATAAGTTTTACTTTGTTTTATTTTGATTTAATGGTACTAACGTAAGAAGAATGAACAGTTACTGATCGTTAAATTTATGACAAGATTACAAACGTTATGACATAATGGAAAACTAAATAATTGAGGAGAAGGAATAGTGACATTGGATAGAAATAGAGAAATGAAGTAGGAACCAGAATTTTTGATAAATTGACGCTGATGGAAACACAAAATTCGTTAAAATCATACTATTCTATCTACAATTTAGTAATCAAACTACAGACAATGCATTGCCATCTACCGGGCATTTGCAGCTACTAATGTATTTAATGCGTTAGACAAGGCCTTTCACTATCAGAATCGGTAATATAGTTTACGTGAAAGACACGCAAACCATATTAATAAAAACGTTTATGTGGTTCCTTATTCTTTATTAGAAAGAATAGAAAATTTTCTGTCTATGCCAGAATTTTTTTATTATAGATATTATTATTTTCCTGGGTTATTGACAAAAAATGTAATGTAATTTTATACATAAAAACAATTTATATTGAATGTTTATTAAACATGCAGAACAATTCAAGGGGCAATTCCTGATGTATTTTTATAAAGAAAACTTCCTATAAATATTTGTCAAAAAGTGGCTCTTAATGGGTCTTAAATTTGGCCTAGTTACTGCATGAACATTTTAAACTGAATTAGAATCGGAGCTAGGAATTTAAAAATTTTAATCAGAATTGTGAAAGGCTCAACGGTAAAAATAATCCAATTTTTTATGGATTCTTTTCCATTTTGATTTTAGATTACGATACCTAGTAGATTTTTACGTAAAAAAGATGCTCTTGGTTCATGTTGACAGGACCAATCATTTTCGAAAAAAGTACAAATTTCTACATCGATTTACTTTAGGGAAATTCTAAAAGACACTAGAAGAAGTGGCTGAAAAATTTACAAAAAGTTAATAAGCAAGTGGTAGATCTCGTCAAAATTTGAATTCTTTGAATATCCCACAGGAACTTGTTTAGAAAACAAATGTAGCTTAAAAATCACTTCTTAAATGTTGAACTATAAAAAGTATTTCTGTTCTTTTTATTTTTGATTCTTTAATACAAATGTCGAAATTTATAAACCTAACAGGTAAAACAACGTTAGTTGATGATTATAAACCATTGAAATGTCGATTTTATTAAAATTTACGTACACTATTTTAGTGAAGGACTTACGTAATAACTACGTGCTATTTTCAACTCAGACTTACGAAGTGTACTGTGCTAATTACAGTATACAATTTGATCAAAGTACCCATAATCCACAATTAGTTATTATGACTAATAAGCTCAAAACATTCAGCCCTATGATTAGAATAAACCTTGGATAAAAACCAACGTCAAGTTTAAACGTTAGTGCCAATTTTATTAAAGAAAAAGGCACCTGCCCTTCAACATGGTTGGCACATATGTATGGTCGTATTACTGTATGTTACTGATGCAGAAACTAATTTTTCAGAGATTTCGTCTAAAATTTAATGAATTTCATGTTGTAGGAAAAACTTCAACCTCGATACAGCAAAGTTAATTAGTCGCATGACGTAAAATAACCAATCTAAAATTTATCACAAATTAGAAAGCTGGAACTATACCATTATGTAAGAAGTTGTTGGGATTTTTATTAGTTGATTGCAATCTTAATGTTACTTACATATTTGCAAATTAATAATACGTAATGTTCTTTTAAAAATTCAACATTTTACACAATCCTAAATATCAAATATGCATATTTACAAAAAATGGAATGGTTAATGTCCCTGCTTTGAATTGCCATACTTCGTTTGTTTGTTTTGAAAATTAATTATTTTTAATGTTAGGTAAAAAAACAATTTCCTAAAATAAATCTAGATTAAAAAGCGATTTGTTCATTCATTTGCGGATTAAAAAATATTCCTAACGTATACAGGAGTTTTCTAAACATTTCCTTCTACCTCAGTGTTAATTTTTTAATCCTTCATGGTGCAACTTTTAGCAAACTACCTGATAAGGAAAAAAGTAGTGTTGTCAATTTTAAAGAAATTGACAAACTTTTTAAATATTTCCGTAAAAACAAATGTTAATTTTTTAAAAGACTTCTGTCGACAAGCCGAAATTTTTCAAATAAATAAAGCAATAAATCAGAAGTGCATACAGAAGCAGCACTGCGAAAAAACAAGTTGTAGAAGACGTTAACCTTTTGATTTGTCCCCTGATCCAGTGGAGGCAGCCGCGTTCGTTGGCGCCTCCGGACCCGTCGAGGGCGGTCTTCGGCGCTGGTATCCTGATGATCGTGTACACAACGATACTCTGCAGCTCCATGACGACAATGTCGCGTGCATTCTTCGTGCACCCTGTCTAGGATGCTCTCTCTTTTATTACCGTTACTCGCATAGCACACACTCGCAGACGCGGCTGTCGGCGCCGTGAGTTTCGGCGGCGACTGCCGACCGACAACCATCGACGTCGGCACGCGTCTGTCAGGGAAGCGGCATCGTGACGCCGTCGAACGATAAGTCACGACCACCTAGTACAAATACTATTCTACTACTACCGCGCTTCTCGCAGAAGAAGACGCTTCCGACGACGCCGCGATACATGATGACAACGGCGTCGTTCTCGAATGCAATTACGCGGAATACCTACGCCACGCGATTAATAACAGAGCAAACAAAAGACAACAGATATTGTTAAACTCTTATGAAAAAGTTTTATAAACTTCAGGCACGAATTTCGTTTAAATGATGATCAAATTGTTACTTTTTTAGACTAATTTTTAAAAAAACCAGCCCCTTTTGAACGCTCCTCCCCCACTTGGTCTACTATGACTCCCTCCCACCCTTGGAACAACGTACTCAAAAATCTTCATTTATTTCAAAAATAATACAGGTTCTTTCGGAACCAGGCCTTGATATGATACAAGTTCAGAATAGACTTATACCAGACCCCTCCCTCTCCATATGGTGGGTGCATAGCCCCAAATAAGATATTTTTCTGTATTTCAGCAAAACTAATAAAAAAAACATTTTTTTATACTTAAGTTGCGGTGAAATTAATAGGAACATTTTAAAGTATATTTTCGCAAAACTGATGAACGATTTCAAAACATTAGAAACTTGAAAAACTATTAATACAACAAACGAACTTTTACCTGAAAAAATTACGTAACAAAGTGTTGAAAGCTATTATATATTGCTGAAATTAATATTCAAATACCGTGAAAACAAATACGACTTTCTGAAAATCTAAAATATCACAATTTATAAGCGAATGTATTTTGTTTTTCGTCAAGTTTAGTAGTAATTGGTATCAATCAAGAGGAAAACTTTAATCAAAGACAAAACGTTTCGATACTTGCTTTCAAAGAGACGTAATGAAAAACAAAAAAAGTTTATTGGCAATTTCAGTAGAAAATAATTTACAATTCCGATACCGTCTATCTGAATTTAACAAAGTACGCAATTTTGAATTTCGATCAAACGAGAAATTCTGACCCGTCACTTAGTATTTGTTATTTTGTTTGTCTTTTTTACTTTCTATAGCGTCAAAGTTCAAACTGCTATGCACGTGCTGTCACCTAGCAGAATTTTTAACCCATACGTTATTTTTCTCGGACATCGCTGACGGGGAAAGTCTAGCAAAACTGAACGACTTTCAAAGCTTGCCTTTGAATTTTACATTATTCGCGAAATCCTGAGGGAAACTTGTAATGTAGTCCCGCACAAACAGAATATCAGAACTTTTGTAGATTTACGAAGAGACGAGAACATAGAAATCCTTTTACGCGACTATCTATAAATCTTCATTCCACATCTAACAACAAAAGGGTTAAAATGAATTTAACTTTTATCTCTACATCTACATACTAATTAACTTTTTTAAGATTTCAACTCGCAACCGAAAGATGTATCTGGTAAACAATGTTTAGGTGTTTTGGTTTTAAAATTACTAAATTGCAAAAGTTTTCCTGGGCTATTTTCTTATGGCCTCGTATTTAGATGAAGCACAAACTTTTTCAGTAACAATACTTTCTCGGAAAACTCATATTTTTATAACGGTTCCAACAAAACATATACAGCAGAATCCGCTTATAATGACATCGGAGGGAAATGACAACCACGTCGTACTAAGCGGGCCTCACACAAAGTTTAGTCTTAGAAAATAAACAACTTCCTATTTTGGTTAGTTATTTAGTTTAATAGAGAGGAAAACTACAAATTGTATATATTTATTAACAGAAAAAGAAAAAGAACGATGAATTGTANGCGAAAATATTATCATTAATCATTTGGGTCACTATATCCGTATATGATTTCATAATAAACGATGTCATTTTAAACGGGGTCATTATATCCCAACTTTTCTATAGAAAGAAGAACTACAAATTGTATGCATTTATTAACAGAAAAAGAAAAAGAACGATGAATTGTAATACCAATATACTTAAGAAGGGTCAGAAAAATGAGCGAATATGTTATCATTAATCATTTGGGTCACTATAGCTGGATATGATTTCATGAGAATCAATCATAATAAACGATATGTCATTTTAAACGGAGTCGTTATATCCAAACTTTCCTATAGAGAATTTAGTATGAAAACCAAACTTCACACTGCAATTACTTCATATTAAGCGGATGGTCAATATAGGCGGAGTCATAATAAACGAATTCCACTTTACTATAACAAATAGAAGATTATGACTTGATAAATGTTAAGTTTTGCTGGTATTTGACCTAAGTTTTACTTTTAGATTCGCCCTCGTATATAGCAATGCCTTTACACTGTTCTCGAAGATTGTACGAATGCATGTTGTTGGTACATGAACCTGAATGGTGTGCGTGCCAGTATATTCACTGGTGTCTCGATCATTGTCCGATACTGCCAGCAATGATGGTAAATAACGCGTCAGGATGAAGAGGACACGGTCGCTGCTTGATAGGACACAATGCCTACACACGCACCCTTGATTGACAGATACGTCCGCACCTCGGACACTTGATTATAATATATGGTCCACGCTTTTTGACGGCTATTTCGATGTTGAGATTTGATCGAAATGTTGCCAGGCGACCGTATCAACAGGCCAGTGTTATTAAAAGAGAAGATAGCACGTACTAAAATAATATTGTGTTTTTAGCAGGTAAAAGATGTGTATAATTTCCATTCCTTATTTAAATAAAACTGTTCAGCGTGTGCAGGACTTAGCGGAAGGATTCAAGTTATAGTGGAAGACTGTCTTTGTTGGACAAATTTCTAGCTTGGTTGTCTTCTGATGCAATTCTTAAATAAGGCTATTACATATTAACTAGTTTAGTTCCAACAAGTCTTGCATTTTTTTCTATGAAATGAAGGATAATTCCAAAAATTACTATATAAAATGAAACTATTTATCTGTACCTATTGGCATTTTTTATCTATACTGACGTATGTGTCCAAATCCTAAGGCCCTAGAATAGTAGGAGGAGGCTATCCTATTTTATTTTTACTATGAGAAATACTTTTATAAAACCGTTTTACTGTTGTAGTTCTTAAATTGTAACAAGACGAACATTTGTCTAAAATCCAGTCGAATAAAACTTTTTCTGGCTGAAATATCGAGTAGTGCGGTTAAGACTGGGGATCCGGGAGGTATTATTTGAGGACCGGTGGCTCGTTCGATAAGCAAAAAAATTCGGGACCATCGAGCACATCGCGTCCGTCGCGTCGCACAGCGTCGTGCGGAAGAAGAAAGAAAACGAGATTGGCAGCCGCCGAGAGACCACCCGATGGCGAATAAATCTGCAAAGAACCCGTCGTGGTTGTTCTCATTGTCGCGCGTAGTTGTCCCAGCGGTCCCCACATAAACCATGTCCAGGGAGAAGGATACTACTCAGCTGACATAGTCGTCGTAGTACTGGTGCTGGTGGTGGTGTGGTGGTTGGCTGCACAGTCACCGCAACCGCTTCCACATCGTCAGCACTAAATCAAAGAAGGCGCCAGTCACCTGGGACATTTACATCAAGATATCCCTGACTGGCATTTACTCTCTACCGAACTTATCTTTCTCACTTTACCCGCTGATGCACACCCCCACCGAATCAAAAACCACCACCGCATTCTGTTTTACCTGGACAACAGGAATCTTCTTCTGATTTTATTTCTAACAAACTGGGAATTCTTATGTTTACTACTTTTTCAGAGAATCAGCCTAAACATTCCAATCAGTGTAGCAAAAATTTGTTACGCCTTTTTTTTCATTTTTTGCATAATGCGAAATTGAAAATAAAGATGCATTAATTAAGCGATTCATGATACCTATTTTCAGAGTTAATTTTATTATTTTCTTCACTTAACACCGATTTTTAAGAGAAACTAGCAGTATAATCGCGACGGCACTTTGAGTGGTCTCTGTCTTGTATTTAGTAAGTCAACTGGTCTTTTGTTATTCATACTACAAGTAAATAATTTTCCTATTGTTAACGAATTTTAGTAAGTATACAAATTTTTCTCGGAGCTGTAATTACAAATTACAACGATATCAGTCAGTTGACCGATCTGAAAAAGGATTACATCCCTGTCTCCAGTATTACTTTTATATCAATATCCGCAGTGCACATAAAATACTAATAACCGCTAAATAAAATTTAATGGGTAATAAAGTGGAAGTTAAAATTGAAAGTGGCTTTATGCCGGGACTGTTATACGTACAGGTACAGGTAGGTAGGTATACGCTGTAGGTGCATTTGTACTTTTGTTTTTCAGTTCGAGAGACACGAGACAAACAAGGAGAAGGACAAAGTCTGGTACTTCCTGACGTTTACGGCTTTTTGGGATTTTAATAAGGACAGGTAGCAGTTTTATAAGTCGAGATGCTGAAGATTAAGAACTGCATTCTGAGAAAATCCATCGTCACCATAATAATAATGACAATGGTGCTCGTCCGTTTGCTATCTTTCTGGCACGACGTGTTAAAAATTGATTTACGGTCTATAACGTTTATGATGGAGGTTGACATGTACCATTATTTTTTCTGAAGGCGTCGCTATAGCTCAGCTTGACATGAACATGGCAAGTATTTATAGCAAGGTTAATTCGAACAATTTTATGACCGTTTAACTGCCTCAGATTCCATATTTACTGCTCGGCTACATTGTTTTGTCTTCGCGCATAATGTCGAAATGAAGATGCATCCACGCTGAAACGTCGTAAAAATGCACAACGGCTTTCGACAGTTTTGCTTTTGTTTTCTAAAAGGACAGCGTCTTTTCCATAAATTCTCAATAAACGCCATATCATAAAAAAACGTTATGCTACTAAAAAAACCAACGAAACTATGAAATTACTGATATATTTCGCACTTGTCTTGCGCAGCTATCCATTGGTGTTTTAGTAAGATTTGCTTCTGAAAACTCCAAAAGAGCATGAATAAAAAAAAGAAACTGATAAATGATTCGACTGACAAATTCCAATCTTAATTAAATCACAAACGAACAAGACAAGAACGGTGTAACCTTTTACTTTTTATATTTTTAAGTAAAGGAGTTGTTAAGGAACC